GGGGAGCGTTCTGGCGCACTATGGCTGCCGTCGCATCATCCAGGTGGGGCTGCACACTGGTGGTGGTGGAGGGGATCCCCATTACCTGTAAAGCAGTTGAGTGGAGTGTCCAGAAAAGTGCTATATAAGTGTAAGCAATTAATAATTATCATTGTTATCCCAGAGCTTCCCAGCCCCAGTCCTGTAGGAACACCGTCTCTATCCCAGCGCTTCCCAGCCCCAGTCCTGTAGGAACACTGTCTCTATCCCAGCGCTTCCCAGTAGGAATTCCTACTTCCCGGTCCTGTAGGAATACCATCTCTATCCCAGGACTTCCCAGCCCCGGTCCTGTAGTCTGTCTGTCAGTCATTAAGGTAAATAGCTTGAGTAGAGGCGGCTTACAATTCTCTATGCTGGAGGTGATGGGAAAAGTTGAACTTGAAGTATTTTTGAAGCACTTCAGAGTGACTGAGTTTGAGGACTGAGTCCAGAAACAAGTCAACCAAAAGTCTAAGCTTCAAAATCAATGAAAAATTGCCGGTTAGCAGTGGGGATTCAGAGAACAGCTAAGCTAGAACACAACCAAACAGTGGTGCCGCAGGACAGGGCTATCCAGTCCTGCAGGGCCAGTGTGTCTGGGAGAACTGGGAGACCTGGGAGAACCTGCTAAATCTGTCCAATGACACTGATTCAGCCCGTTAAGAGCCGATTCTCACTGAAGACCTGCAGGTTCACCAGGACGGAGCAGCACTACCCAGAGCGCTAAAGACAGAACGGTGGCCGATTATGCAAAACAGGTTTTGTGGTAAAACTTTATTTTGTTAGAAAATTGTTGGTACACAGCCTGCAAACTCATCTCATTTTGTTAGTTCCGAAGGCCCTGTACCTGAGCTCATCCTGCAGCTCTTTGCAGTGGCTCTGCATGTTGAGAAACATTCTTTTCAGACAATGCAGCAGAAACAAACCTACAGTGCAGTCCGAATGCGTGGCTTCAATTCAAACAACAGTAGTCCACCTTCTAATGCTACTTTAACTGTGTGTGGCAGTGAAGCCCTAGGGCCGTACTAGACCTTCTCCTGGACTAACTCTAGTTTAATGGAAAGTGCCTCCACAGAAGCTTTAGTTTCATCCATGAGAGTCTTGAGGGACCCGATGTCCTTCTCGTTCGTTTCAATCTTTACTGAGTAGGCCACGAGACTGTCTACTGCAGTCCTCAGCCTTTGCAGGTCATTCTTGGCCTGGCTGACAGAGGCCTGCAGGTCCCCGACGCTGTCCGCCACTGTCTGCCCCTTCATGGCCTCCTCCAGCGTCGCCAGTCTTTGCCCGTGCTCCACGGCCTGTTGTTTCTGGCCCTCGTCCAGGGATGACAGCTCTTTTTGCGCGCGGTCTTGCGCTGCGACTGCGTTTTGGAGCTCGTCCAGACTGTTCTTCAGCACGCCGATATCACCGCTGAAGGCCTCCTGTGCCTCTGTTATCTTCCTCACGGCGCTGAGCACGTCGGTGTCCTCCGCTCCTGAGCCGGAGGGCCTGAGCGTCTGCAGGTCCCGGCTCAGCGTGGCCAGCGCGCTTTCGTGCGAGTCGTACTTGGACAGGACGGATTCCAGCTTTTCGGACTGCTCAGCGGCGGAGGCGACGAGAGACTCTGCGCTCTCCTCTACAGTTTTTAACCTGAGCTCCCAGTCTTCTCTGCCCTGAGCGGCGCTGGCGGTTTTAGCCTGCAGGTTTTGCTCCAGGGCTCGAAGGGTGGCTGTGGCCTCCTGGAGGCCGTCCTCCAGGGTCTTGACCTGTCCCGACAGAGACTGGAGGAAGGCCTCAGTGGCAGACAGGGACTCCCTGAGGGAGCTGGTCGTGACCTGCACTGCGGCCTTCACCTCCTCCATCTCCTGGACAGTGGACTCGGCCTCCCTGGTCCTCGTCTGAAGCCGTTCCTCCAGAGAGCTTACCTGCGCCTTCAAGGACTCTGCCACCTCGACTTTACCCTCACTGCTGGCGCGCAGGTCTGCCACCGCCGTCGAGACGGCCAGAAGCTCGTGCTTCAGCGCGCTCAGGCCTTCAACGGCCTGCACCTTCTCCCTGAGGGTCTGCACCTCGCTCTGCGTTTCGCCCTGCACCTCGGTGAACGCCACGACGTTGTCGTTAATGGACTTCGTGAGCTCCGTCAGTCTCTCCTCCACGGTCTTTTCCAGGGATGAGAAGTCTCTCTCCCGGGCCTCCTTCACGTCCCGAATGCCGTCCGACAGGTCCTTCAGGATCTCGTTCTGCAGCTTGTGGAGGACCTCCTCGATCCGGCGCGTCTCCGCCTCGCCCTTCCTCACGGCCCGGTTGGTCTTGTCCAGCTCGCTCTGGCCGTCCTTTAAAGAGGACTCGAAGCTGCCGACCGTGAGCCTCATGGTGTCCACCTGCAATGACAAAGAGCCTGTTACTGCGTGGCATCCCAGACCGTAGCGGGCATTCAGCAAGCCTGTGCCTGACCAGCAAGCACTTGTATCCCAACGGTCCTGTGAAGTCTTAGCAGGCATTTTGCAAAAACACAAAAAACAACAACAGTGGAAGATTACAAAAGAGAGGAGGCCCCTCAGCTCATCTAGCCTGTTAATTAGCTAATTAGTCTCATTTCTTGATCCCGAGATCTCACCTGGCTTCCACCACATGAAAGCTCAAATGAGTGCGAGCCTTGTGGGTCCAGGGGAACCCCTGCTGGCAAACCTCAGCACTGACACGCAGAGAACAGCCGAGTGTGACAGGAGGATTATAAAACATTACAGAATAGTGCAGGCGTTCGCTATTCCTGGTAAAAGATCTACAGTCCCAGTAGGCTTTAACTTCACTTTGTTTTAACTTCAGATTTGTGAGTGCAATGAATTGTTGCATGCTTCTTACACTTTTATACTGGAAGACTTTGTTAAGTGTGGTGTGGAGATGTGAAGTCGCTGCTAATTTACTGTTCAGAAAATTGTCTGAAATGTGATGCCAGCACTGTGGTTTGGCTGAGATCTGGCTTTGAGCAACAATCATAATAATCATCCCTTGCAACTTTATACTACACTTTTCACCCAAAAGGATCTCAAAGCTCTTGACACCTTGGGGGAAATTCACTGCAGCCCCTCTGCACAGATCACGTGGAGGAGTTAGAAACTCACTGAATGAGTTAAGGGGAGTTTTAGGCAGGAGCCTAAACAAACCTGGAGTGGATATTTAGTCAGGACAATAGGGCATATCAACCCTGCTCCTCTGAGAGATGCAGAGAAATACATTATATTATCATAGCCCTTTTTTTCCCAGTATCTGAGATAAGATAACCAGGAAGGACTATGGTACCTACAGAGTTGAGTCAGCCATCCCCACCTCGATTTATTCTATCTCTGACGCATTCAGAACCGCACCAGGTCACAGCCCTTGAACCTGACGGTGAATACACACTACTTGATACAATTATTTCTTCAGCAGGAAACCTTTTTCACCTCCTGTGATAATCTGAACTCCATTAAACAGAACGCATCGTTCTAACGGGGAGAATCGTCTGTCTCTACAGTACACTGCAGTGCGCTCTTAATGCGCATTGCTAACGAAGTCAGCTCAAGACCACAGTCAGCCCGAGTAATACAGATACCCCCCTTCCTCTGCAGGCGCGTTTCACCGTCACTCGGTTACTTCCACGATCTCGCGTTTTCCACCGTGATTTTAGAGAAGACAGATGGGAGTAATAATGATATTAGTGCAACAGATCTAAATCCACAAATCTACTGTGGGGAAGAAGATGTGAAATTAAGAGTGATTACATATCGCACTGGACGATTAGAACAAAGTTCAGAGACAAGAGGGGCTGGTCGTGCCGTGTAGCCGGTTCGTTAGGCAGTAGGTAATCGATCCAAGGACCTCTTCCAGCCGCCTAATTGATGATTATATAAATCCCTTTTAAACAGTAACAATCTAGACACCCGAGAGGTTTGTTGTGTATATTATTTCTACGCGTAAATCTGATTAATAGATCCCTGGAATTGCTTTGATGCAGACGAGGAAAATCGGATACCGACCAGCCCGCATTCCTCCCGTTACTCAGAAGTCAGTTTAAAACACAGTACTTAGCGCACATTAACTCAGTGAACGTTTAACTCGGATAACTTTTATAAATTGCACAGATTCCACTTTGCAGATACCGGAACAATTAATACGGTATACATTTCAGTAGGCTTCACTTTTTTTAACGCATTTCTCAAAATCCTCAACTCGCTTCCGAGCTCTCTCCTCCCACGTTCCCCAGATGACTGATCCCCCTCAGGCGACCTCTTGTTTGGTTCGGACCTGATCCAACCCGCCTGTGCCCCCTTCAGTCAGTACCTGGTCGGGACGCGGCGGCAGGAGTCTGGGGGGGTGGGGTGCTTACCTGCTGCAGGACAGCCTCCACCGTCTTCGCCAGCTCCTCGGTTCTGGCCGCCGCCGCCTCCTGCCTGCGGCTGGTCTGGCTCAGCTCGTCCCGGACTCTCTGCAGGTAGAAGCCGGCGAGCCCCGCCGCCGCCGCCACCAGCGCCAGGTAAAAGGTGGCGGTCAGCGCCCGGCCCAGGAGCCCCGGGCCGGCCGGGCTGCTGACCCCCTTGGCCGCCTTGGGGCTGCGCTTCGCCACGTCATCAGGCGGCGGAGGGGAGCTCTTGTCGCCGGCGTTGGCTTTGGTCCTCTGCTTCGCGGAGGTCATGGTCGCTGGGCAGAGCGGCTGGGCTGCGAGTCGGCGGGCGGACCGAGCGGGTCGGGCGAGTCTCGGGAGGGACGGCGGGCGAGTCGGCGAGCGGACGTGTCGTCTCTCGTCTTCTGCCTCCGCAGCTGGAGTGTCTGCAGAGGAGGGGCAACAGCGGCCCGGAACGCAACCCTCTAAATTCAACTGGGCTCTGAGTCCGACTAGCCCCGGGGGGTCTCCACGGCTGCAGAGCTTCCTGAAGCCGAAATGCGAGCTGTATCCGTGGCCGGGTCTGGCCGTGAGAAATAAAGTCGCACAGATTAGCAAATAAACCTTCAGTCTTGATTTCGTGACATTTCAAGATTTTATGAATGGGAGTTGTCTCTTGTTTGCAGAGAACTCCTTCATTACATTCTGAAACAAAACAAACCTCCATTACCTTCCGTGCAGAACAAAAATCACAACCCTGGTGTCAATTTTTACCTGCAGCAGTCGTTTTATTACTAGTATTCAAGGTGTGCTTTTTGTGATGTTTTGTGGCGAGTATTAACAGTTTTATTTATTGTCAATAACAAGGGTTAGAGGCGACGCCTCGCTTGATGACAAAGGGTTAAAACAGCGCGATTTGTGTCAATCCGCCAGCAGTCCGTGAAGTTTCCGTCTCTCAGTCGGCTGCTTTGTGAAGTTTCAGTGCCGGGGTGGAGCGCAGATGTTACACCCCTCCACCCCTCTTACGTGGCAGCGCGGAGACAGGAGCAGGGAGCTTGAGCGCATGTCGCCGGCCGATGCGGGTGTTCCCCGGTGGGTTATATTGCTGCTTTCTGCCGAGAGGTCCTAGTGGGTCAGTTGCAATGTAGGAAAAGCAGCGTATTAACGGGGGGGTCGTCCCGTGGCTGGCGTGCAGCTCTGGTCGCTGGGTTAATACCAATTGCAGCGATTTTGTTGGCTGCTGAAATTAAGCTCCGCACTGAAAACCTCCTCTATTGCAGCGAACCCAGAGCAACAGCTGCAGCCCTCAAAATACGGCACTGGGTACACCTCCCGCTACAGAGACTCAGCAGTTCGGTGGAGTAGTAGGAGGGACTCTGGCCCGCACGGGAAAGTTGGCAGAACCTCAGTTTCATGTTTGGTGCCGTGCCGTGAACAGGATCAGCTGGCCGGGCTTTTTTCGAGGCGATTCAGCGAGCACCTGGGGAGGATCCCGCGACAGGGCCGTACTGACTCCGTGCTGGTTCGTTGCCATTGACCCAGCGATACTCAGGCCCCCACGTTGTGTGGGGAAGAGGGGAAAAAATCTATTTGAATGTAACGAATGGCATGATGGGAGGATGAAGGCGGGCATTTTGAAACTCCTAAAGAACGGGAGATTCCGCACTGAAAGGGGCGCGTTTTTTTTTTTGTGCAGACGTGGACATTTAATCGAGAACCACTTTTTGGTAAAAGTCCCAAATTCGACTTAAGTCTTAAAAAACAATACCTGCCTGTAAAAATGCTAAGAAATTACAGAGGGTAAAATTACAATTACAAAGAAATGACAAATGTAGGTGTTAGAGTTCCAAATGTTTTGCCCACATTTAAAATCACCCAAAATAATGTCACCTTTTCCTGATAAGTACAAACAGTAAATTAATCATGATAGTTTTGGCCTGGTAGCACAATTCCAGGAAAATAAAGGAATACCCTATCAAAATAGCTTGTACCCTTGTCATTCATTTCCTGTAGTCTCTAGAATAGTTCTCAGGGCTTTGCCCTAGTGCTTCAAATTGGTGCCCCTAAACCATGCAGGTTCCCCAGTAAATGAAATGGGAATTTCCTAATATAAGATAAGCAAGCTCTAGATGTATCAGATATAATACTTATCAGATTACCTATCCAGAAGCCTTTGCACAATGCAAGCTTTTGAAGAAGACGAGGATGATGGATGATGCTCATAATGTTGCTTCTTTTTTTCTATTTTCTCCTCCATTTTCTCTCTCTCATCTTCTAGTCTGTCTTGTAATCCCTATATTTATGCTGTGGTCATTGTTATGGAAGCTTCTTAACAATGGCGCATCAGAGTTGAATGCTTATTCCCTAATATGGCAAACCTAATGACTCTGAGTAAAGTCAATCAGCAGGCACCCTTTGATCATTTGTCTCTTTCCTGTTTTTGCTTGACAGCAAAATACACTTTGTCCTAAAAACACATTTGTGGGATTTCCCGTATGTATTCTGGTTACACAAAACATGTATGTTGCTATTAAACTGGACATAGTTTAATACATATATGGTAATCTGTATGAAGAACCCAAAAGATAATTTCTAAATACAGTATACTGTTTACTGGCCCTGAAATGCTCAAGAAGCTTCCCTACAAACTGACATTTCTTGGTGATTTTGAGCACGGCAGTTTTGCACTACACTGGCTGGAGAGAGACTAAGTAGCCACAAGTAAACCCTGCAGTGCAGGGCGCTGTGGAACAGTAAATAACAAATGGAACTAAAATATTATCACGTGTGAGAATGTGTGTGCTTTGACCTGCCAAGTATCTCTCTGCTTCACTTCTGTCTTCCTCAAGAGTTTCCCCAGATTCTTATCATGAGTGTTTGCAACAAATACTGAATATCCATCAGTCCAAACAGGGTGACGAAATAAAAGCTGTCAAAAGTCCGCACCTAGAATCCATACAGCACGAATCTAAAGTGACCCGATGAGATTTTGTTTCCACATAAATGACTGTATGTGTCAAACTGTAATAACGTTCAATTTGACTAAGATTAATATTTTATTCTCTGTGGCAACTTCTGTCCACTGCGACAGGCTAGAACATGAAACGTCCCCATTCTGCAAGGAACTGGGGGCGATTCCTTTCCGCGAAATCGTGCAATACTACAGCGATTCACTGATTTCACAGTGATTTGAACAGTTCCGCAACTGTGGACGCAACTGAAGCGCTCGTTTGACAGTTTCAGTACAATACTACGTCTGCAGGAGCAGAAGAGCGTCCGAGTCTGTTGGTGTTTATCCGGTGTTGCACAAGGCAGCAGCTCCCTCTACTGCTGTATCTACACAGGCTGCTGTGAAGAGGGGGACTTACACCTCCCCGCCGCAACCCATCCCTGGGTTTTACGCGCACTGTGACCAAGGGAAGACCCATCCTGCTGCACAGTTAAAGCGGTGAATTGCAGTACTATTTTATTTTGAAAAGAAGAGCAAATAAATAACTGTTAATACAAAACACCCAGCTACTCAGCAAATGTTGAACAGGGTTACAGGGGTACATTGTTCCTGGATCAGAGTGGTGTCAGAGTGAAAGAAGAGGGAACAACTTGCCACACACTTACAGGAAAATACTATAGAGGCCACTGTGATGTGAGGTATGACCTGTGCAGTTTTCACATTTCGCTACCATAAAGTTTGCAGCCATGACACGGTATCACCTTATTGATCAATAGAACAAATGTTTTTATAGGCAAAATAACAAAGCATTAATCAAAATCATAAATATCTGCATACTGAATTTTGCATTTCAGAGGCATCCTCAAACTAGGACATATTGTATTTAGTCTGAGGAACTCACTACAGGATCTTCCCCAAACCAACAGGACTGCAATATCCCTACAATCATGTCCGGATCACTGAGCCAGACTCTGGTGTCCAAGGAAGATCAGGACACGGCCCTCTCACGTGGCAGCAGCTCAGAGAAAGAGAAGGGTGACGATGTTCCTTCTTTCAGCGTCTCCTCTGTTTCTCGTTCACAGTCGAAGAGCCTGTTTGGCATGGCTGGTGAAGGACATTGTTACTAAAGTGAAAACAATTTACATTTCATAACACTGGACAGTTAATAAAGCATTACTATCTAACAGGCTCCTTGTCTGTTCCTCAGGCTGGGATAGGAGTTCACACACTGTATTATTGAGAGACAAGCTCTCTGTTCTTCAGGCTGTAACAGAAATATACGAACATACTGGGATGCAGCCCAGTTAATTTCCCTCCCCGCTTTCCCAGTAAGACTGGGAGTTGTTGTGATTCTGGCAGGTGTGGGAATTCTGGATTTAGATTAGTTATTTAAGGGAAGAATGTTTCTCTAATCCCAAGGTATTTCTCACAGTGCAGTAGGAAGTGCATCATTGTCACTGAGAGCACAGCCTGTCTGGTCTGCCTGTGTCCAGTTCCTTTGGCCAGGCTGTGGTCACTGGGCCTGTCCTCTCTGGACAGCCAGGTCTGCCTGTGTCCAGTTCCTTTGGCCAGGTTCCTGGTCACTGTGTTTTGGAGATGACCAATGTTTCTTCTGTATAATCACTGTTGGTGATTGGCTGTGACTTCATCAGGTGTCCTGTGCTTGCCCACCCTGCAGGTCCTTCAACGTGGCTCTGTTGTAGAGTATTTCATCTCTGGAGGAATCAGGAACCGACTCATTTAAGAATGTCCTGGTTTGTGATAGTAAGGACCTACCGCTCATCATCTCAGATGCATTCCTGAGGGCTTGAATAAAAGAAGCAGTGCCAGGGTTATGGTTCAAGGCAACATATTTTAAATCATCTTAAAATCCTAAATCTTTAAAAGCTGTAGTAGCTTTTCTGCTACATCTAATAAATAACTAAATTGTACATACAGCTTGAGGTTTTGTGAAAACACACAGATTCATTTTTTTCTCCTTCAAAATTACCGATTCAGAATCAAGTCCTTCACTTTTTCCAGTCCAGTCCCATTCACGTTTTCCACTTGTTCCGTTATGTTATTTAAAAGATCCTGAGGGGTTGTGCGTACTGTCTACTCCAGCAAGTACCTGTAGATCTGAATGCACTGTCTCCAGCCCCCAGCTGTAATGCGAAGCGTAATTCTGGACCCTGTGCAGACGGTATCATCCGGGAGCAAGTGGAAAAGGACGACATGGATCAGGAGGGGGTGACAGACAGGGGGGCGTGACGATGGTGAGCTGGTGCTCGGGGGGCGTAGCCAGGGCGAACAAGTCCAAGGAGTCCAGGAGGGAAATCCGGTATGAAGTCCAAAAGTCCAAACCTGGGTGATCCAACCGAGATGGGACAAAACAGAATTAAAAACTGAAATGGGACCCAGTACAGGGACAGGGAAATAAAAGCAGGATGACGAGGCCAGGCGCTCTGAGCCCCGGACTCAGCAGGTCAGGACGGCGATAGGAGGCCTGTGCCCTTAGGCCACAGGCGTAGGGTGGTAGGCGGACCTCTGGGGGTCTGTCTTCCAGTGCAGAGCCCAGAGAAGCGAGAGTGCCCGGCTTAAATAAGGAAAGGCAGGACTGGGGGCAGGTGCACGGAATTAGAGAAATACAAAAGAGCCGGAGCGCCCTTAAAAGGAGGGATTACGATCATGACACCAGCCCTGGAAAGATGCAGGCTCTTGAAGTTACTGCTTTAGTCTGGACAAGCTTCTTTAAAGAACCGGCTGCAGGAGGGCTTCAGAACAATTATCTTATTGTCACGATCGCAAACCTCTCCTCTTCAGGGTGCTCCAGCCCTTCATCGTTTGCCTTTTCCCCGCACCTGTTCCTTGTTTCCACCCTGTTTCAGTTCACTCACTTCACTCGAGGCTCTGCACCTGATCTCCGCGTCGTGTGAGCCCGGGTCCTCG